GGAACAAAGGCAGAACATGGTTAAGGGTATTCCAAGACCAAGGCTTGGCAGGACAAGATGGTTAATAGGATAAGGGAGCAAGGGACAGTGTAGAGTTGAACTGATTCACCAGGGAATCAAGATGAGAAAAGGTGGAAAGTGTAGCCTTTGTAGGAATGATTGCTGAGACAAAACTGGGAGATAGAGGGATTGGAGGTCACAGTGAACAGAGAGTTTGGTTGCAAGGGAGAGGGAGATGTAGAATGACAAAAGCCTGTGATCAAAGAAGACAATAAGGGGCAACTAGGTGGATAGAGCACTGGCCCTGAAGTCAGGAGGACCTGAGTTCAAATCCGGCCTCAGACCAAACACTTGACACTTACTAGCTGTGTGACCCTGGGCAAGTCACTTAACCCCAATTGCCCCCCCCTAAAAAAAAGACAATATCAGAGTTCATGAATGTGGAAGTGGTGCATTTGGAGGTGATGGAAAGATCAAGGGTAAGGAGGTCATGGGAAATGAGGAAGTTGAGGAAATGGGAGGTTAAGATGTTTGAAGTCCCCTAGTAAAAGGACAGAAGTAGGAAAGGGTAGAAAGAGTGTAAGCTAGGCACTGAACTCATTGAGGAAAGATGTGGTGTGTCCTGGAGGTGGGTGAACAACCACTACTGAATTTTGATTGGGTGCTTGATATGCATTAAAAGAACAACAAAGGAGGTAAAGCTCAAACCCCTTGTTTTGGAAATTGGGAGCAGGGAGACCGACCATAATGGATGGGGTTGAATAAAGTCACTGGAGTGGGGAAATACTGACTCGATGGAAGTTAATTACAGAGAGTGTTGTAAGGATAAAATTTAATTTTTGTGAAACTAATTTTTTAACTATAAATTTATGTAAATATAAAGAAAATGAAATGTTACTTATCTAGAATAGTTTACTCAGAATTTGTGTAAGCATGTTAATACATATGTTTATTTTAGTTTTAGTAGTGGCAGAGCCCCACTTTCCAGGCTTTTGTTGTAGTTTTCTAATGTGCCACATACTTTGAAAGAATTATGTGATTTGTATTGACACGTGAGAACTGGGGACTCCGTTTTAGGTAAAGGAATAGCATAAAGACAGACTCGGGTGGGAATTGTTTTTAAAATGCTAAAGGGACTGGTTTGGTTCCAGTACAGAGGCAGTAAAAGCTGTAGTTAGATAATACCCTGTTAATGGAGGATAGTGAATGTCAGTTTGAGAAATAGATACTTAACCTAATAGATATTGGGGAATCACTGAAGGTTCTCAAGAAGGGGAGACATGACAGGTTCAGGCCAACAAACATGTATTGAGCACCTGTTAGGTTAAAGGCCTAATATTTGAAGAAGACATAGCATTATCCAAGATATGTATACAGCTGTGCCCTGTTTAAAGAAAAGCCAGCCTTAGAAATTGAATAAAGCTTAGGAATTATTGTTTATGTTATGAAAGGGAACAATTATGTTACCAAGGGAACCTTTGAAATATTACTCTAAATAGGAAGCTAGCCTCTGTAAATGAATGTAAAATGTGATTTGATTCATCAAAATTTTGGACATATTTTTCAGGATTATGTCTGTTCTGTGAAATAAAGGACACTTTTTATGTGAAGTATGCCTTCAGAAGAGTTCATAAAATTTTATCTGTACACATGTCATTCATTTGGAGAGAGAACTTTTTGGATGGATTTTGTTTCCTTCTATTTAGGAATGTTGAATTATTATGAAAGAAATAATTTGTACATTTATAAGCTGCTTATATCTTGTTATATAGATTAGCTTCACAGCATAGAAAGAGAATATCAGAAAATGCATGATGAAAAATACCTTCAGAAGATTATTTTTTTTTCCAAAATAAAATTTTTAGGGGGCTCAGAACTTAGGTAGTATTGTTGATGTTTCAGCACTTGACTTTCTGTATGTCCTGATTATGGATATGTACTTCTCTCTTTTGCAGTTTTTGCTTTTGCTGCATCTGATTTCTGTTACTGAGAGGTTCTTTCTGGCACTGCATTGAAAAGCCAAAAGTTCAGTCAAGATCCCAAAAGCCTCACCTCTGGAATTGCTCAACTTTTTTGGATTTTTCTTCCACTTTTCCTTTCTCACTATTAATTGGAAACTTTGGCATGCAGGGGCTCATTGTGCTAGGCAGAGAACGTTTTGGCTCCATGGCTTACTGAGGATTAAAGATTCCTTACTCCTAACCTCACAGTACTGGTCAGCTAGAAAAAGAGAACTTATTTTGTATTTTTTTTTCTGAGTCTAGGAACAATAATTCCTCACTGGGAACTCTTGTTTTTTATACCCCTTTTTTTTTCAGCCATCACCTTATTTCTGGAACTGAATCACTGTGGCTAATAGCCAACATTTAGAAGGCTAAAAGGGGAAAGGACAAAGGGCCTTGAGTAATGCACGATCTGATTAGTTGGAATGTTTATAAAGTCTCAAAGGTGGGCTTTTGATATAGTGGAATGAATGTTAGAGCACATGAAGTACAGGGAATTTCTTCCTCCAAAAGATCAGTATCTGATCAATATAGAATAGGTCAGGGTTGGGGAACCTGTGGCCCTCTAGGTCCTCAAGTGCAGCCCCTTAACTGAATCCGAACGTCGCAGAACAAATTGATCCGCAGATTCCCCACCCTGGAATAGGTGTTCAAGAAGTACTTGAATTGGCCTGGAAGAACATTCTCATCCAGATCTTTTCTCTGAGGGCTTTGGAACGTAAGGACGAATGCAGATTAGGCAATTCTGTTCCCTCCTCCCAGATTCAGACCTGACTCTATGTTTTAGGCTTCAGATTCTCACCCTAACCCTAGCTACCTGAGAAGTCAACTCATTCCTAGCTTCCTGAAAAGCTGATTTATTCCCTGCTTCCTTTAAGAATGTAGCTGATTTCACCTCTTATCTAAGGCCTTTCTGTGTGGCCCTTGGTTCCATACTTTCACCCTATCAGAATTACTTTACTATTACTTCATATACTTTGTGTTTTCCTATCTGTATACTTCTTGTATCCTTCTAGTAGGGACTAGGCCTTGAAGGCAAGACTTTTTTTTTGTCTTTGTATTCTTGGCTCCCAGTTCAATGCCTGGAATGTAGCAGGTGCTTAATAAATGTTGTTTGTTTTAAAATTTGAATGTGAATTAGTATGTTTTGTAGGGAGAACTCAGAGAACTGCATAGAGTGCTGGATTTGGCATGGTCCTTATCAGCTTTTTCAAGACACTTCATTTCTAAGTGCCTCAGGCTGCTTCCTAAGACTTGAACATCTGGAGTTCAACTGTTGATATCATACACCCTTAGTATTCATAGAGTTTGGTGAAAGGTTTTGCATTCAATAGAAGATGTTTCAAAATCAACAGTGGACTCAATAGGAGGAACAAGTATAGGGAAGATGAATATTGGGCCAGAACCTGCTGGGCATTCCTCTGCTTCTGGAGCTTAAGGTAAATTCTCCTTTCAGATCTAATTCTTTGCCCTCAGCCAGCCTGTTCTGCTGTAGGTTCTCTGTTTCTTCATGGTTCTCTTCCCTTGGGCATAACTTTAATATTTAGGTCACATATCTTTAAGCTTATTATGGTATATGGTAAAAGATGTTGGTCTAAACCTAATTTCTGCCAAATTTCTTTCTATTTTCCCCAGCAATTCTTGTCAAATAGAGAGTTCTTCCCCAAATAACTTATAGTTGCACTTTTATCAAATACTAGATTATTGAGTTCAGTTATTTTTGATTTTTCTGTATCTAGTCTGTTCAACTGATTAACTTTTCTGTTTTTTAACCAGCACTGAATAGTTTTGATGGCAGTTGCTTAATAGTATAATTTGAGTATAATTTGGAAGTACTATTCCCACTTCATTCCTTTTTAAAAAATTTCCTTTGAAGTTGCAGCTAGGTGGTGTAGTAGATAGAGCACTGGCCCTGGAGTCAGGAGGGCCTGAGTTCAAATCCAGCCTTAGACACTTGACACTTACTAGCTGGGTGACCCTGGGCAAGTCACTTAACCCCATTGCCTAGCCCCCCCCCAAAAAAAATTTTTCCTTTGAGAGTCTAGATATTTATTACTTGAAATGAATTTTTTAATTATTTTATCTAGTTTTATAAAATACCATGGTAATTTGATTGGTTAAATTGAATCCGCAGATTAATTTAAGTAGTATTGTCTTTTTTTATTATATTGGCACAGGACAGCCATGAGCACCAAATATCCCTCCAGTAATTTAAGTTGTATTTTATTTCTTAAAACAGGGATGGGGAACCTGCAGCCTCAAGCTTAGAGCTGGTAAAGTTATAATATTTAGAAATCTAAAGGGGGGCCTCATGCGGCACCCGAGCCAAACTTGAGGACCTCGAGGCCAAAGGTTCCCCACCCTGTCTTAAAAGAACAGAGATTTCAAAAGACATAGAGATTTAGCTAGCACTTAGTACACTATTTGTTACAAATGAAAGCTTAGATTCACATCAGAACTACTTGATACATTGATTTATTCATTCATTAAGTATTTATTAAGTACCTTTTATATTTAAGACCCTTGGAGGCAGGTAATGTTTTTGCCTTTCTTTCTATTACCAGTGCTTAGCAGAGTGTCTAGCTCAGTAGGTACTTAATAAATACTTGTTGACTGATTGCAAGGTGCTATGCTTATTAGCTTCTAGTGAGGACAAATACTGATATGAGGATAAAGAAGTATGTCATGGCCCTGGTGAATTTTTGTGAAACCATTCAGGGGAGAGGTGTGTGCACTTTGCACACCTGACAGGTGTGGTTGGAAATCTTTTCTTACAAGATAGAAATGGGAAATAGCAATTCTCCCCAAATTAATTTTCTTCCCTTTAAAAAATGAAGCAGACCCCAGAGTCTGCAATACTCTTTTTACCAGATTCAAGTCTAGTTTTGTCTTATTTCTACAATTACAGCATTTTGGGCAGGTATTTGTTCCAGACTAAGTCCATAATATGTTTTATAAACCTTTTTTCTAAAAACAAAAAACAAAACTGTTTTACAGGTCCTTGATCAATATGAGAAAGAAGGATTTAATTTCCTGGCAAAAGTGTTTAATTCTTCACATTCCTTCTTAGAAGACTTGACCGGACTTACTTTGTTACACCAAGAGACTCAAGCTGCTGAGGTAAGAAGAAAACCAAGCTTCTTGTGTTAAGGCCCACTGTGTTCCAAGTCTTTCTCTAGTAATATTCAGCTCTGCAGAAAAGGGGCAGAGTCATCAAGTTGCATTAGAGCAAATGCTGTTGAGTAAGTCTGGTGATCATCTGCTCGCTATCAGAAACTTTCTTACATCAGTGGAGGGCTGTGTGTATTGAGTGTTACTCACGAAATCCTTTGTGCTGAGCACCGCTGATGTCTCCTAGAATTATCTGCTCAGAAGGTATTTTCATACCTCAGTGGAGATGTTCCCATTGCTATGTAATGGAGGTATGTAATCTCCAGCCAGGTTATGTATGATCTTCACCTGTGAATCAGTTTCACAGTGGAGACATTGGACCTGATTATGTGAATAAAGCAGAAACTGGATTTTATTTGAGAGGCAGATTCATTCTAAAAGAATTCTAAAAATTCTAAAGCTATTCCAAAAGAATGCACCCTGATTCTAAGAGAAGGATGCTGAGGCACCCTTCTCAGTAGTTTCTCTTTTGTCAGCCTTTTTTCTACCAAATAAAGCATTTCTCCCCTTTGTCATTGGCTTGACTGTGGCTCTAGAGCGGGGGTCCTTCACATTGTTTGTGTCAGGGACCCCCTTGGGCAGCAGTCTGGAGCTAAGAAGTCTAGAGACCCTGTCTCAGAATCATGCTTTTAAATACATAAAATACAAAGGATTACAAAAGAAGTGCAGTTGTTACAATAAAAAAGCCACCCAAGTTTGCTGACCCCCTGCTTAAGAAGCTCTTCTCTAGAAGATCAGATGCCTCTTAGCTTGGTATATGTTTGAAGCCCTGACAGTGACTGTTCTGTGTGATTCTTTTTGTTCACTAGCAAAACATTTGTAGAAAATCATAACCTTATGGGTAGATACACAGCAAGTGGCAGAGGGAATGGGGGTGGAAATGGCTTTTTTTAAGCCTATTTTTGCAAGACGGGCTGTTTATTTTGCCTTCCTGAACAGTCGTTGTTATGCGACAAGTGAATACTCTGGCTAGAGATAGATTTGTGACCAAGCCAATGTTAATCTGGTTAGTTGGACAAGTGGAGAGTTTCTATATATAGAAATATGGGAACAAATGATTTTTCTTTGTTACTTTGATAAAATTGTTCAAATGAAAAATGAGGAACTTTTGGAGTTGTGATAAGCTATACAAACAAAAGTTGGACTACTTATACACTGGGTTGACTAGACAAAGATAGAAGCATTTCCTAGGTTTCCATTTGTCCTGCTGGAGTATACAGCATCGACTCTAGGGCCATGTCTGTTGCACCTGAGTTCAGGAACTATTTCACATGCAGTGATCTGAACTAGAAGGTCAGGTCAGCAGATCAAGAGGTAAGCCCTGGAATAATTAAGGCCCATGAAATGCAGGGTCCCTGGAACATTGTGTATTTTGGGGATGTGGATTTGCTTTAGGGTACTCACAAAGTTCCAGAGCATTATAGTGATTGTGATCTTTTGAAGTCGATTAGGAATTCACATTGAATCCTCTGGAATATCCCCACTATTTCTGGGGTCCTTCAAGTGGGAGTTCATGCCACTGTTTTGATAACAGATGCTTTTCCTTTTGATTGGCTCTGCTCTGTAGTATGTAAATAGTGTATGGAACTCTACACCATGCCAAGAAAATGTGATCCTTTTTTATTTCACTGGAGGCAGCTCAAGCATTTTACTGAATAAGTTGGTTGGGTGAATTTCTGCCTGGCCTTTCACACAGAGCTGATGTTAATGACCCGGAGCTGGGAACAGCTTCAGGTTCCTGAGCCTAAGCTGGTAATATGCAGAGAAGCCATAGGGAGGTAGTGGAGGGTCTGTAGCTCCAGCTTTATGGTCTCACTGAGGCTCCTCATTTAATTGTCAAACATTAGCAATCTGTCCTGTCATTTGATCCAAAGGAATCGAGTACCTCTAGGGTAAGACAAAGAAGTCCCTGTGAACAAATCAGGAAACTAAATCCCTCTCGTATTGGAATCCTTGCTTGCATTACCTACAAATTTTAGACATTTCCCCAAACTTACCTCTACCTACCTACATTCAGAGGAGTACTGAGGCTCACTCATACTAGCTCACGAGAACTGATTTGTCAAATATTCAGTGTGAACATTTACACCTTGGAAAATGGCAAATGCTGTAAACCATGGCTTGATTTGTTGTTTTGTTGATTGTCTAAACTTAAGAAAGCGATGGAGATAAATGTGAATAGTGCAGATTAAACTCAGAAGTGTGTCATGTGTACTTTTTCCCTGGAGAGCTGGTTGTTAAACATTTACCAGCACACCTTTTCCTAAGTTTGTAATCCTGGAGTCCATTAATAACCATCAGCCCTGAGAGAAGAGGAGCAGTCCTTGTTTTTATCAGGTCATATTAAAAGTAACCTTTTGTTTGGTATCAGTGGCAGAAGTCCAGTTTGCTACCATGCCACTTTGATGCTTGACCACAGTGTTCTAACAGCTTTCCTACACTGTCTTAGTCTCCAGATAGCCTTGGGAGGAAAGCATGGGGAAAACAGTTATCTCCATAAGGGGAGTACTTTGGTTTGTAGCTCTGATTCACAGTGTATCCAAAGATATTCACCAGTGAAAATTTGAAGTTCTGTCTTTCAGGATTTCAGGGTCCTAACAACAACTCATAGACATTTCTATATTTTTTTTAAGGTTTGTAAAGTGCTTTACATCTGTTATCTCATTTGGGCCTCCCAGTGACTCTGTAATATAGATACCACAGTTCTCATTAGCCCCATTTTATAGATGAGGAAACTGATTCACCCTGATAGTGTCAGAGGTGCAACCTGAGCATAGGGTTCCATGGCCTCAAGGCCAACACTCTTTCCAGCACACTACTTTTCTTGGCTTGCTAAATTCCTTCTTCATTAAATCACCTGACTTTGGCTAAATGTTTTAACCAACCAAACTTTATTATAAAAAACATTCGCCTATTGATGTAGTTTGTTGTATGTCAGAGGAACTGAGTTCAAATTCAGCCTCTGGTGCTTACTGCCTAGGTGACCTTGGACCAGCCACAATTTCTTTCTCTCTGAGATGAAGGGATTTAGAATAGCTTCTGAGGTTCTTTTCAGCTTTAGACATGCAGTCCTAGGAACAACTACTTTGTCTTCACGGAAATCAAGACAGTTAAATCCAACTATTTTTCTATGCTTTTGAGAGGCATTAGGGTGTACAGATGGAGATCCAGCCTTGAATCCAGGACGTGCTGGGTTCAAGTTTCACTACTGGCACATGTATGATCCAGAGCAAGTTCCTCGAACTCTTAGGGCCACAGACAGCTCTCTAAGCCCGTAAATTGTAAAGAAGGTTCTGACATGTGTTCATAGAGGGTATCTCACTTCATAGGAGTTTCCTGTATTAATGAAATCACAGTCCAGTCTGCTTCCTTTAATACCAGTGGTCTCTTGCCTGACATTTGTTCCCTTTTGGTAAGTAAAGAAGTGGGTGGGGGGCAGCTAGGTGGATAGAGCACTAGCTCTGGAGTCGGGAGGACCTGAGTTCAAATCTGGTCTCAGGCACATAACACTCACTAGCTGTGTGACTCTGGGCAAGTCACTTAACTCCAACTGCCCTCACCAAAAAAAAAAAAAAGAAGTGGGTGGTGTTATTTCTCACCACTGTCCATTTCTGAAGACTTTCTCCTTGACTCAGAGCAGCTTGGACACTTCACGATGTAAGCATTTGTTATAGGTGTACTTCCCCATTCATCGTTCAGGGAGACAGTCGGTGTGGGTGCCCAGTCCCATTAGATCTTTAGAAGGACCTGTTCAGCATTGAACACCGGCCCCAAGACTCATCCTGTACAATGTGTCACTTGTGTGTGCTCTCTGGATTGTCATCTGTATAAGATGAAGCATTGTGAAGATAATGTGAGTTGGTATTAGGGCAACAGCCTTTAAGACCCAAGACCTTATTTGAAGACAGAGGCCTTCCTTGATGGGAATTTGGCCAGAGAAACCCTCTGTCCAGATACAGGCTTTCCAACTGCATAATCCTTTGTCCTCCTCATCCCAGCATCCTCTCATAATCTGGGCCCTAGCTACAAGAATCAAACTCATTTGCAGAGTTATAGGTTGTGTACAGGTCATACATAAATGTACAGATCCTCTCACTGTTTCCTCATAGTTTGAAACCCTAATCCTAGCTCATTGCCAAAACCTGTGGGCCCACAGTGTCCTTTTCCCAGCCTAACAGCAATTGCTGATGAAAGCTGATTCCCAAGGCTTCTGTGGAAAATGGGCATTGGAGTTTAGCTCATTTCATCTTCCATCACCAAGCCTAGAAATAACTAATAGGTTATTTGAATTGAGCTTCTTTAATTCTGTCCTTTTGGGTGCCAGAGAGGGTCACACCGACAAAGAAAGAACACCAAAGAAGAACACTCTTCACTGTTACTTCTAAGACAGAGTGAGTCATCCATTCAGTTGTTCCATGGTTTTTGGCCTTTTCAATTATCAAGTATCAAAGCCACGTCAGGCACCTAAGAGATGGATAAGACTCAGTTGCCTTCTCAGAGAATTGATTACCACCTCCCAGAGGAAGTGAACAAAGAAGCCAAATAACAATAGAAGATGACAGTGTTAACTGTCAAATATGACACCATGTTTGCAACTTTGTGTTAAGACTCCTCTCTCTTTTGCCTCTGTACCCAACCAGCTAAAAAGTCCTTTTGATTCCACCTTTCGAGGCCTCTTGAGTCTATCCCTTCTGTTCAATTCCCACTGCCCCTCCCCTCAATAGAATTTCATGGCCATCTTTCTAGACTATTGCAGTAGCCTGCTAATGAGTCTTCCCACCTCTGTTTTCCCTCCAAACCATCTTTTACACAGCTTCCAGATTTACCTTCTCTCTATACATATCACTACTTCACTAATCCCTTCACAGACACCCTATTTAATGTTGAGTCAAGTTTGAACTCCTTAGATTAGCATTTAAGGTCTTGTACCACATGATCCATCCTTTCTT